ATGGTTATTTAGAAAGTTTTTTTTTTATCTTAGTAAATGAAAAAAAAAATCGAATTTTTGGATGTTTTTTCCTTTTGGATATTCAGATTTTTTTATTATGTACTATCTTATTTCTATTCAAAAATTTCGGAACAAAGGAATATATCCATCGATATTAATGAAACTTTTTATGGACCAAACTATAAAATGGCGTTTACAATTTCATTACTCAAAAGGGTTACGTGGAAGAAGTATAAAACTATGAATACTGAGTGTATATAATTTTTTTACTAATATTCGATTGCTTTTGTTTTTTTTTCAAATTGCATTGCAATGAAGAATAGCTGAAAATCAACAAAATCCCGCTTAACGTAAAGATTTTAGAATTTAGTGTAAAAAGTTATAAATATTCTGTATTTTATTAACGTTTTAGTAAAATAAAACTCGGATATTCACCAATATGAACATCGCAAGTAGGTACTCTTATAAAAACGTGTCGAACGATACATGTTTATTTTTTCAAATATTTTTCACTAGCGAGTGGCGTTGTTAGTACTAATTACTCAACAATAAAAAACCTTTAGTTAAAAATAATATTAGAACTGACTCGATTAAGATGCTTATATTAATCTAACATTAAATCTATAACATATAGTATCGTAGTAGTGGTTTGTTAAGGCTGAACATATCGTACGGGGCAGAGGAAATGATGGTTGTAATTTTTTTTATCCACTAAGTCCTAGCAAAAAAAAAAACACGAAAAATTACAACTTAAATGTTTGTTTTTTTTTATTATAGCTGTCTAACTCTAAACATATTGGCTATGGCGTATGTTTTTAGGATCATGTCATGATCCGTGAATTTTAAAATGTAAGAACTATTTTGATTCAATTTCATCAAAACAGTTTTAGTTTTTCGTGAATAAAAATAATCTACTATCATTTTTTGTAGAATAGAATAATTATTGTAGTGTTGCCATATCTGTATAAGTGATATTCGTATAGACTGTTTATGTTTATTTAGTAATAATATTGAAAAAGACATTTTCGTTATATGTACATTATAGTTTTCCTTCACGAATTTTGTTAACATTTATATTTTCTTGTGATGGTGAATTGTGGTGTTTTAATATAATAACGTAACATAGATATATATAAAGAAAATATATACGAAAATTTTTAAGTATTATTATGTTGTTCCTTAAAAAGATGAGAAATATTTATTAATTAAATATTTCTCTCAGATTTTATTTAATATTGTGAAGGTAGCTAACAATTATTTCATATTAATATGTATTTAAATTAAAATTATTTCAAAGGGAATAAAGGTATATCATATATTAATAACAGGGTAATATTGGCAGTTAAAATATTAAAAATACCCGAGAAAAGGACAGACAGAACAGATCCAGATATGGATTTTAGTTTAGTCTGAATGAATAAGCGTATATATTATATTATAAGTCATTTGACGACACGTTAGGCTGAGTTTCTAGTGACCCTACTTGCTGTGCCAACGGTTGCGGGTTCAAGTCCCGCTGGGGGCATTCACATGCGGGATGAGCACGAATGTTTGTACTCGAGTCATAGGTGTTTATATTTATAATATCTATGTATTTAAAGTTATATATGTATAGTGTATCAACTATCTGGTATCCATAACACAAGCCAAGTGTTGTGTGTTAATATCCTAACATATTATTTCTGAATATCGACTCTTTTGTTGCCATTAAATAACATATTTTATATAAGATTGCTCTCTATTTCTGATACAATTGCCATTTTTATTGATATACTTACTCGGAGTAGCATTTTGCACTGACGCTACAATTCACCAAGCTTATTGAGTAAATGTCACCGTACATTGCAGATTTTTTGTTCTCGTCCTCATATTGTTCACTAATTTGTATTTAAAAAAAATTCTTCAAAATTATAATTAAATTTAATTTTAGCGTCTGTTATAAATTTGTGAAATAAAGAGTTTTGCCAACAGAAAATCTTATAAGTAATAAATGTTCTATAATAATTAGATAGATTTTCGTAAGTCTCTCTAACTAAATTAGATTTTTAAATAAAAAAAAACCTGCATTGCAAAATCGGAAACTACAATTGAACATCATATGAGCGTCAAAATTATAACAGCTTCTTCAACTTCTAAAAAATTATTTTTTAAACGTATATCTTCATTTTTATGATAATTTTTTATAACGTATTGAATACTTTCCGGGTTTTCTCATATAAATAGCAAGAAAAAAGCTGCAGATTAACTTTTAAATTGTTTTTGAATTATCAGCATCGGAGGTCAAAGGTAGAAACTTTGCTAAAAGTTAAAAACAAAATTTTGCAATGTCCAGTGACTAAAAATATTATATACACTTTTTCTTATTATTTGATGTACAATTTAAATAAAGGACACGCTGTAGAAGCGTTCGTAGTGCCAATGTTCTCACTCAAATTTAAATATTTTGGCATTGATACGTTTGTAGTTGTTTCACTAGTCAATTCTACTCTGTTCGAAAATATAATTTGTATCATAGGTCAATGGCTTGTCAAACGAGGCCCCCAGGATATTTTTTTTTTTCAAATTTTTGAATTTTATTTTCACGTATCGTTTGTACTTGATTGTACGCCATAAATAATTGTTTGTTCGTAAATTTGTTTATTTGTAACTTTTTTTTGTTTAATTATTTTGAGCGTACATTTTTGATTAATTATTTATAAATAAACAATTTACGAACAAACAATTATCTATGGCGACGTATAAACAATATGAGAAAATAAAAATTTAATAAAAACAAAAAAAAATCTGGGGGGGCCAGGTTTGGTGAGCCATAATAAATATAATATGTAATGTATTGTCAATTTGATAAATGCTGTTCTATTTGCGATGCAAAAATTTCTATTTTTATGTATTATTTATATATATTCGTTTTGTCTGTGTTCTGATTCATATACTCTTCAAAATTATTATAAGTTTTTTTTAATATTAAAGAAGGTTTAACGATTTTTTTGCATCATAAATGAAAATGAATAGATGAAAAGTGAAAATGGAATGTAAGTAGATAAAATATGTTAAACGTAGGTAATGGTGAATTATATCTGTATTTCCTTTGGGTCATAGAATAATGTAGAAATAATTTACATTATATAAAACATTTTGCAATTAAAATGGGAAACCGTTTTTTCATATTGCAACATTTACATTTTTACCTATTCTGTGGTCCAACAGTTTAAAATATATCTCATTTTAATCTGTACTCTTAATAATTATGATTATATTATTAAACATATCGTCGTTTTAGTTAATTATATACCTGTTTATTATTTCCAAAGTTTATAGAAGCTATGGAAGTTCGTCGTTTGTGTAACCCTGCGTCTTTCCCACCAATACAATGTTAAATTTCTATCAGAAATAAAATTATTGTTATAAAATTAATAGTGTACTTGTGTATTAGTGTACCTATGTGTAAACCTAAACAGATTTTAGTGGATTTATCGTTTTGATGGGAAAGATATATCATTTTCAAATAAAAATGTACCTAATGTATTTGAAATAAGCTTCAATTTAAATAAACATATTTGAAATGTATATATATATATTTTTTATCGTAGGTACTAATTATAAAACTTAAACTACTAAAGTTTACTTATAATATTTATTGCTTATTTTATGAGCTCAATAAAATAAATATAACTTGGCTTCAAGGCACTAAAATATAATCAAGTACCTAAATGGGAGTGATCATCTTATAGTATACTATACATATAATAAAATTCTCAGTCGAACCTGTCTGTACGTCAAAATTTTTTTGGAAAATTCTATTGAAATGGACATTATTATCACAATACAAAGACCGAATTTATAGTTTTTAGATTTTTTTTCTGTCTGTCAGTCTGGGAACGCATCATGAGTAAACGGTTGGACAGATTTTGATGAAATTTGTTATGATGATATCTAGTTATCCGGGTCAACGCATAGGATAATTTTTACTGCGGGAAAATATCTCATCTCTGAGAAATCTATACTAAACGTTAAAACGTATCTAGGGACGAACCCGAGCGTAGCCACATTTTTTTTTCTCCCTGCCCATTTCCCAAATCACTTGGGGTCGGCGCAGTACATCTTCTGTACTGCTAATAGGATTTGACAAAAGTTTTACGACCGGCCGCCTGCGTGACGTCAACCCTCCTTGGGAATGCTATTGTCTTTCTTTGTCTGAATGGTGTTAAATATTATGCACTTTCGATTTTGTTGTGTTTTAAAACATTTTTTATACTATTAATTCAATTATTAATGTTATTTTTGGATATATTTTAAAATATATTTCGATTACACAATAAATTTTGTATTAAGCCACATATTAACATTAATACAGAAAAGAGTATTATTGTTCTCATTGCAAGAGAGAAAGGAAAGAAAATATTAATATATCTAACATTTATTTACTTTATAATATAATCGTCATATTTTGTTTATTTACAATGAAATAAATTAGAAATACACTTAATTATATATACAAAACACTCAACATAGGAATTGGGTAGTTAATAATAAGCAACGCGTCTGCAAGCCCTGCGGTGTTGCAGATGTCCATGGGCGGCGGTGATCACTTTTCATCAGGTGAGCCTCCTGCCCGTTAGCCCCCTTAGTCCCATAAAAAAAAAAAAAAGCAATGGAGAAGTTTCCTGATGTTGCTAATATAAAATTTAACACAATGGTTATATATAATAGAGAAAATAGACGACACGTTTGGCTCAGTTGGTAGTGACCCTACTTGATGTGCCAGCGGTCGCGGGTTCGATTCCCGCTGGGGGCATTCATTTGTGTGATGAGCACGAATGTTTGTACTCCAGTCATGGGTGTTTCTATTTATAATATGTATGTATTTAAAGTTATATAATATGTGTAGTGTATCAACTATCTGGTATCCATTACACAAGCCTCGTAGCTTACCATGGAACTAGATGGTGCTGTGCGTTAATGTCCCAAAATATGTATTTATTTATTTATATACTTTTTTACTTTGGCAACTCATGATTTTGTAATTTGATGATTCTGAAAAGAAAATGGGTTAATTATTTTTTATAAACTGTTGTATATCCTACTAATATTATAAATGCGAAAGTTTGTAAGCACATATGGGTGTCTGGATGTATGGATGTTTGTTACTCTTACGCAAAAACCACTGAATGGATTTTAATGAAACTACAATAATATAGCTCATTCATCAGAATAACACATAGGCTACTTTTTATCCCAGAAAAATGTCCGGTTCCCGTGGGATAGATTTCTTTTTGTATTGTAAAAAATAAATTTATCTTATGTAAAAATAGAGTACTGTCAACAAAACAAAATTAATGTCAGTTTAATAATAATAATTATTTACATTAAGCACAAAAAACATTTTTTTATCATAGCATTTATGCTGAGTTAAATATTCAGTGTTCAATATATGTATGTATGTACTCACAATAAATTTCCATTGGGATCTTCTTCAATATTAAATGTGTGAACTTCATGGCTTAAAATCTTCACCAATTCACTTTCTTCTTCACACTCAAAAGGCTTTTTCAGACAGATATCAAAAAACAATTTTATCGAATCATTTTCATCATTATTAAAGTCTCCGAGAAACCTGAATTCTTTATAAATCGAGTCATCTACGAATTCCTTGAAATAATCAATTATCTTCTTTAAGCTGCTTTCTTTTTCTTTGCACTTTTTGCCTTTAATTTTGGAATTTTCGTTATCTTCTTCTTCTCTTCTTTCTTCTCTCCCCATCTCTTTTCTATCTTTATGTTTATTATTTGTATCAATATCGATTTCATTATTTATATCTAAGTCAGAAACTATTTTTAGTTTGAAATCAATTCCTCCATTTTCTGATTTACTTATATCGCATGAATCTTTTTCGGAATTATCAACAGGTTTCATTTGAATATCATTTATTTCCAATTTATTTTCTTCATCTTTTGTATTTTTCTTTTCATTGGATGTGGCGTTATCTTTAATATTACAGTTAAGTTTCGTGCTCTCATTTTTTATATCAGTTTTGTTTTCTTCATAATCTTCTCGCAAATCGTCTGGAGTTATTAAATATACGTTTTCGGGAGCTTCTTTATATATGCATAGTAGCCTGCAAATGTTTAGAAAAATAATATTATGTATATTAATATTATAAATGTGAAAGTTTGTGAGTACGGATGTTTGTTACTCTTTCACGACAGAACGGCTGAATGGGTCAGGATGAAATTTGGCGCAGAGTTAGATTATAGTCTGGAATAACACATAGGCAACTTTTTATCCCGGAAAAATGTACGGTTCCCGTGGGATTAGTTTGTTTTTGTTTTCCTAGAGGCGAATCCAAGCAAGCCGAGTGTGAGCCGCTAGTTATAATAATAAGGAGATATAACATTAAATTTATACTTCTCTCTAAAATTTTGGGGTGTAATGAAATAATAATAATAATATTACTTTTTTGCACACCAAAAAAGAAATATAAAAAAATATTTAAAAAGAACACAAAGAAACAAGATGTAGGCGGCCTCATCGCTGGAAGCGATCTCTTATGTAAATTCTTATATACAAACATACATACATACATACATACAAAAACATACATATATACATACTGAATAATGAAACTAGTATGGATGTAGCCACTTGACAAATAAAAAATAAAAGCACCATGGTCTGTACACTAAATGGTTGAATTTTCAAGATATTTGAAAATCGAAGGTACCTAAAGATGACTGAATGAATTAACTGATGTAACTCAAGTTTTATTCAAAGAAAATAGTTGCCATGTTTTATTCAAGAAATAACTTCAAATTATTGTTCTTATCTAAGTACTCTTTAAGTCAAAATACATATTTTGGACACATGACGCTTTAGGACTCCATATTGCTGATTTTGTGTGTTTAATTGTATTCTATCCATTTATACCAATAATAACGTGCGCCGGTACTTTGAAAAAATAAATAAAATGGCAGCATCTAGTAGAACAGTAATATATATTTACATATTGATTTATATTTAATATTACAAATGATTTTAATGAAACCATATAATTTTTCATTTATGAAGACTTTGTTATTTCTAAACATGATGTTTTCCTGACCGACTCCGGCCACGGCGGCCAATCTCATTGAGACTAGCCAACTGCGCAGGAGATACTATAGTGCAGCGCGTGTGAGGGAGAGCGCAGACACTACGTGCACTCTCTGTCCCTGTCACTCATACTCCGGTGGGACGACACGAGACACGACCGGTGAGAGTGTCGGCACAGGACCGACGCGACACGTGCTCTCCGAGGCACGGGGGTGAAACACTGCCATCTTCCCAACTCCGGGCTGTTACTGAGGCTTTATATACTCAATAACTAAACTTGGCCCGACCCGGGACTCGAACCCAGGACCTCCGGGTGTGCAGCCGTACATGCTAGCCACTACACCACCGAGACAGTTATTTCTAAACATACTTACCGTTTAGCTCCTTTCCCATCACTCTCTGTATTCAATATATAATTATTATGAAGCATTATCTGTCCAGCTATTTCTTTCTCACTGTCTTTATCAAAATCCAAAAACTCAGGATCTTCACACTCTCGCACATTTTCAACAAGATGGTGTATTTTTTTCCTTTCTAATCTGGTCAATTTCTCCTCAAACCGAAGTACTATTTTGGAGTTATTTTTAACAAATTCTAATATTTGCAACAGTACATTCGTCTTGAAATAATAGTTGAATTGAAGTTCGTTCTGTTCGAACTCTCGCTCCTCTCTTGCTTGTTTTTTTAGTTTTTTTATCTGTGGAAATAAAAAAAAATATTTAATAAATAATCAAATCTAATATATGAATATCTCTCATCACGGTGTTTGTGGTGACACTCCTCCGAAATGGCTGGACCGATTTTAATGTTTTTTTTTGTATATTTGGTAGGTATGAGAATAGGTCGTATTTTTGTATAAACAAAATTACACAAATACATAGCTGTATAAAGCCACAGTTTTTTTTGTAGATTGAACGCGGGCGTAGCCGCGGGTTCTGCTAGTAAAGATATATAATATATTATGTAATACATGGAAAATAAATTTAATTACTTTATTTCTTTCTTTATTTTTCCCACGGCCATTTTGATTACGATCATTTTCGTTTTCTGCCAGAAGTCCCAGACCTATAGTCTGTGTTGCCTGAAAAAGTATTAAAAATTTAAGAATATCTACAAAAACATTAATTTGTGAGAATAAATAACACAGGAAATTAGTTTAAAATTTTGAATAATTAAAAGTTATTAATATAAATACAAATAACCTAATGTTGATATGTTAAGATTAGACAGAATCCTTATAAATTAATTGTCTTTACCACTTTCCCATTCAAGCAGAACAATATTGATTGGTGACTCCAGCCATTTTTGTATAATTTACAGCGTGGAATGAATGGATTTGCTCAAAGGAAACTATGATTTATTTTAAAAACTAATTGTAACTGCATTTAATTTCTTTTTAAAAAAGCTGACCTGAACCGGGAATCAAACCAAATAAAAATGCAAAAAAAGGACATATAGTCTATAAGGTAGGTAAGGCTAAAATTTCTCAAACAAACATTGTACATTTAAATTAAAGAAAACCATGTAATCTATGTATCTATCTAAAAATCTTGTTAACTTTAATATTTAAGGTACTTTTCTTTCATGTCCATCCATTTGTTCCACCTTGTATTATATATATATATATATATATATATATATATATATATATATATATATATATATATGTATAAGCACCTTTAATGTTAAACTAATAAAATATTAAAGTCTCGTCCCTTCTAAATAATTGAGGGGTGCTTTGTCTGTCAATATTTGTGGGAATCTGTTGGTCCGAATTGCCACGCTTTTATGAAGTGGTCGAGTTCCGCCCGCGCTTATGTTAGAAATCCTCTAAAGATTTGTTGGTTTATTTGTTTGTACTGAATAGGCTCCGAAATTACTAAACCGATTTAGATAAAATTTGGTAAGAAGATAGTTTGAGACCCTGGGAAGGACATAGAATAGTTTTATCCCGGAAATCATCCCTTAAGCCGGTGAAAATGGGGATGAAAACATCTATGGAGTAGCAACCCAGGAACGAACCCGAGCGAAGCGAGAATGAGTCGCTTGTTTTAAATAAAACAATCTTTTCAGATTATGTGTTGCAGATTTATTTTGATTTTTGGTTCCCAATGTTTCGAATGCTTTACAGCGATCGTGGTCACGGGAGAGACTAAGGTTTTAGATGTCACAAAGTTTATTATATACCTAGGGTTATTAAAGTTTTTATTGAAATAATCTAAATTTTAAATGTTTAGTCCTAAAAGATAACTCCCAAGTATATCAACTCACAAGTCACAGGCAGCAACAGTAATTTCAGTATACTAATTTAAAAAAAATCTATAATATGTAGATATATATAATAATTCATTAGATTAAACCAAAAGAACTTACATATGTAGCCTTAGGTACTATAGGATCAACTATCCCATCTCCATCTTTACCAAGACCACCACCTTTCCAACCCATTTTTTCTAATAAACTGAAAACATTGTCTGTCAATTATATTAATAAATATCATAACATCGGTTTTCTCTTTACATTAAACAATAGATTATTATTTTAATATTATATTACAATAATCTTTACATATTATGTAAAAATTACAGATTATATACAGCTTTTGGATATTTAGGGAAAAAGATCCTATGTATATGGGAAATAGTATTAAATAGCTGGACAGAAAGAGAAAGGGCAGAGAACAATTGTAAAGTATTTAAGTATCAAAACACTATTAATATTAATATATGTAATTCACTAATCTATACTAATATTATTAAGAGGCAGAGTTTGTTTGTTTGAATGCACTAGGTCTTCCTCAATAAACGGGCTATCTAATTCAAGAATATTTTCAAATCACATTAGTAGTTCCAGAGATCAGCACATTGTAACAAACAAACTCTGCTTCTTTATAATATTAGTATAGAAAATATAAAATTCAAAAATATTGAATATACTTGTAGCCTAATTAATAAATATTATCATAATTTACGTAAACAGTACTTATTGAATATTGCATACCTTTTACCTTTACTCATTTCTGCTGGTTGTGCAAGCATTTTGTTTAAAGATTTTTCTATATTGTTTTTAGGTTTTTTAAAATTTAACTGCTCACTTTGAGACGTCTGTGTCGATGTAGGAATGTCATTTTGTTTAAGCCAATATTGATCTGTCCAATTATTTGGGTATTTTGATTCATTCTGATACCCCCTGTCAACATAGAAAACTTGTATATTTAATACTTTAATTAATACTTCTTGTTTTTGGCTGCTGGTAGTTCTAATTGAATCATAAATAAATAAATATATTGGGGTATTAACACACAGCTGCATCTAGTATCATGGTAAGCTACAAGGCTTGTGTTATGGATACCAGATAGTTGAAACGCTACACAAATATAACTTTAAATAATACATAATATTATAAATATAAACACCCTTGACTGGACTAAAAGCATTCGTGCTCATCACAGAAAGCGGACACTCATAAAAAAAAACTATATTTAAGATAACTAACACTTACCAAGTTTTTTGTTGGTTTCCTCTGAGTCTGTCGGGATTTCTATATAAATTATTCTTATTCACTAAGTCTTGTGTATTGTTTGCAGATGTAGTAAGATCCTCATTTTTGTAGTTTGGGTATTTATTATTGTAATCGTATTGTGTACCCCAAGATGAACCTTCAGAAAAGAACCTATCAGATTCATAAGTGTTCCAATCATTCTTTCTTTTAGACATATTGATATATATTTATTTACTAGTTACCACTGAACTAACAAAATATTAAATAAGCAAAGATAATACGATTTTTAATTAAATTTTCTTGTAAATGGCTTAAAATATCCCATTTCTATCCACAGGTCAATATTTGTAATTTGTATTTTGTATTGTTTAATATTTTCCAAAACACACATACTTGACGTTTGACACTTGACATTACTGAATACGCACGCAGATTATTAAAATCTAAACATTTTGAATGACAGATGTTGGAAGTTGTTTTTAATTTTTATAAGTTTTCTGGCATCGATCAAAAAATAATATACACACAATCCCATGCAAAAGTTCTCTTAAAACTGTCACCAATTGTGCTTAGGTAATTATTCTAGTTGAAATAAATATACAACGATGTTCTATTCTTTAGGTATATGGCTTCTAGGATTGCCTTTGGGCACAATTTACTACGCCAATATCGTGTAGAATGGAGAAAGCACGTTTTAAATAAAATGACCGGTAAAAAAGGAGAAAAAGAAACTCTTAATCTAATTACATGTTGAAACAGAGTGTTTAACAATGTTAATTGAACCTTAAACGCCATGCTTAAAGTTTCTTTTTTGATCGATGGTTTCTGGAGATCTAATCCATCTTTTGATAAAGGCAGTTGAGACAATTTTTATTAATAAAATGAAATATCTTGAATAGATGGTTCCTTTAAAGTTTAAGCAATAACATTTTTGTCATATAATTTTAAAAGAAATTCTCCCCATGCCTTTACACCTAAGACAAAACCTTATAAATTTTACTTACAATATAAAATAAAACAAAAGAAAGTTTTTAATACAGACGTTTATTTGTTAAGAAAACAATTTTAGTTACATGATAAATTCTATATTCTTACAAAGTACATATTTTGTAGAAAAAGGAAAAAAATTCTTTCGAAAGTTAAAACCTTCACACTTAGACATTAATATAAATCATATAATCAAGTAATCTCAGTGATTGGCATTCAAAGATTTGTATTGATACTAATTTTACTGATGTAAATAACGTATTTATTGAAATAAAAATATATTGTATCATTCTTTTAACTAAATAAACACCCCTCTATCTAATACACATGTAATAGAATCAAAGAGACTAACAAACAAACTGTTTTATATAGAAATATATGAGAGAAAATAAGACAGATTGATAACTGTGATTTAAATTGTAATAGCAATAAAAATGCTTTATAATGAACATATTAAATGCAACAGAAACCCCTTTTTTAAACCGATAAAGGCTTTGCGATTAGATGTTATAGACGAATATCTTAAATAAACTTAAAAAAAAAATACAGCCGAATTGAGATCCTAGAAAATAACAAAAAACCAATTAGCATGTTCAATAAACATGTTTAATTAGTTATTTTTAGAGATTTCTACTTTATTAACTATACCTAATTAAATAATACTTAATTATAGTTATAAAAAATCACATAACTTACTACAAAAATAACAATATAAACTTTTCTTATATAAAGGACAGTCTCATTTCAAATATTTTAAGGAGCTAAGAAAAAAATAATCAACATAATTTGTCCGTGCGACAAATATATTTAAAATAAAAAAAATAAAAAAATAAACCGACCGCGTAAAAAGCGAACTATAAATATGACATTAAGTTGACCAAAAAGAAACAGTATTATGCAGTCGTATTATAATCACATAAAAATTATCCCGTAATATTGTGAGAAAAGGTGGTGAATTACAAAACTCCAAATAATTATATACTAGTGATATTATAATTTATACGTAAAAGCATAAAATATATAATTTACATATCGACTCGCCCTCGCTTCGCTCGGATTCGTCCCTAGGTCGATTCCCCATACAACTTTCATCTCTATTCTCACCCCCTTAAGGGATGATTTCCGGGATAAAAAGTATTCCATGTCCTTCCCAGGGTCTCAAGCTACCCTACAACGTCGCAAACTCACAAACTTTACCTCTTTATAATATTAGTATACATTTAACTTTCACATATCTATATAAATAAAAACGAATCACCGAAATGTATACACATACGCGCATAACTTGTGATCGACTGCACCAAATTGGATAATTCTTTTTTTTTTTTTTTTGATAGTATCAGGATAATTTTTGTATAGAAGAAAATTAAAGCAAAGGAAAAATTTTTTTTTACTAAAATAAGATTTCTTTGTATCTCATGATATGATAGTGAGTGAAATAGTATTTATCCCGGAAATCATCTCTTGAGGGGGTGAGAATGGGGATGAAAGTTTGTATGGGGAAGCAAGATAGGGACGAACCCGAGCAAAGCGATGGTGAGTCGCTAGTAAAATATAATTTCACAAGTGAAATTAATTATATTTTATGTGTATCTATGAACAATTACAAATACCATAGTGTACTAAACATAATTAAAAAGCAAGCTTTAATAATGAACCGAACCAAAAAGTAAAAAGTAGGAACAAAGTGATAGACGAGAAAAATAATGTTATTGTGAAAAAAAAACGTGAGGTGCTCGATATCTGTTGCTATAAAATATTGCATAGGCGCGATTTTTACAGGTAGAGTAAATATAAAAATATTATAAAAATCATTCAATTCAACACAAACAAACATTAAAATAGGTCGTTGCCGTAATACTCTATATTTATAGTAAATTTTACATCATCTACACCAGCGGACAACATAAAATTATTATTTCTAACATATTCGAATGAATTAAAGTCTAATTGAACTAGAAATTCACTGGAATCATAAAAAAAATTAAAATATAAAATGTCCCAATCACTACAGTTCAAGCCGGGATTGTATAATTCCAATAATGATAAAACTTTTTTACACTCAATATTAACGTTAATTTCAACTTTCAACACGTATAACTCATCCATACCTCTGTAGTCTACGACTTGGTAATCTGTTAGAAGATTCTTTAACCATAGATAAGATCTTTTTTCATAGCAACTGTATACAGCATAGCCATCTTGGACTCCATGACATTTTAAATATGGCAGAAACTCTGTTTCGCTGTCAATTTTTGTTGTTACAAATGTTGCTATATTTTTATGGCATTTATTATTTGTTTGTTGAACGAGGAGGATGTATGGTTTATTTTCTTTTACTCTCGAGCAATTACTTGGAACTTCTGACTGTCCTGTATTTAGATTGACCTCTTTGGATCCATAATTATTATTGGTATCTAAAGCACTTTGATCTCGTTCCGTCCATGAAATGTTACTCAAATTATTTTTTGTTTCAACCGCTGTTGGAGTTTCAGCAGCTTTTTTCCATTTATTTGCTGCATTAGTTCCTGGATTTTGTTTAACTTTGCGTATAGTGAAGGATCTGTAAAAATAATTAAGGTTATAATTTAAAAATATTAGTTCATTTATAAGAAGTGTAATTTTAACGTCCCAACGCTGGTGGGCCTCCCTTCAATACGAGGGTGATCAGGCCATAGCCCACCTGGACAAGTGCGGGCGGACTGCACATGTCTTTCCTTCGCCGTAAGACAAGTAGTGATCATGTGGGAAATGATTCGTACATGAAAATATCAGAGGTGCGAGAGGCGGGATTTTGAACCCGCTTCACTTGTTCCCAAAGCGAACGCGTTACCACTGGGCTACGACTGCTTTCATTATTTATTTTAATTTTATCTTCTTGTATAATTAGTTTTAATAAGTGCCATATGATATCAATGAGGGCTACCGTGCTTGCAATCGCAACGAGAGGGCACTAGTGTAGAGTGAGGTCTCAACAAATGGTAAATGACACTAAATATCTACTGTTAGCGAGCTTTTCTATCCTATCCCACAGGAACCGTACATTTTTCGGGATAAAAAGTAGCCTGTGTTATTCTAATGTATGAGCTATATTATTGTAAAGTTTCAATCAAAATCAATTCAGTAGTTTTTGCGTAAAAGGGTAACAAATATTTTTGCTTTAATCACTCCACGACCGCGGACACGCCGGCGTGTCAGTTAAAATATATGTATAACTAAATATTTCTATGAATATTTCAACTGTCTAACTATCACGATTAATGAGATACAGCCTAGTGACAGACGGACAGACGGACGGACAGACAGACAGACAGACAGACGGATGGACAGCGAAGTCTTAGTAATAGGGTCCTGTTTTACCCTTTTGGGTACGGAACCCTAAAAAGTATTCAAAGTTTTCTCTTCACATATTAATATATATATTTTCATTAAAGGCTATATTTACTTTAAATCTATCCCAAAGGTTATATCAAAAAATGAGTCATCTAAACTCTGATAATATAATTCAACGACTAAGTTTTTGTATGAAACTTGTTTTTTCGTCATCATCACTTTACTGTTCACGCTTGAACACAATTCCTCCAAAACCTTCTTGTGTATTGTTGTTAAAATCGAATCAAAATGGATGTTTAAAACTAGATTTCGTTTCTCTTTCTGGAATTCTAATACTTTTGTTAGTATTAATATTGTAAACTGCGTCTTTTCAGTGGGCAATTCTATTATATTAGTTGATTCTGTATTGCAATCTGGTATTGTTATTACAGTTGTCTTTTTCTTTTCTTTTTTTGACGTTTTTCCTTTAATTTCTTTACTTAATATTTTATTGAGGATTAATTTTCTGAAAAATAACCTAGAATTATTATATGTTGGTACATTAACACACAGCACCATCTAGTTCCATGGTAAGCTACAAGGCTTGTGTTATGGATACCAGATAGTAGATACACTGCATATATATAACTTTAAATACATACATATTATAAATAGAAACACCCATGACTGGAGTACAAACATTTGTGCTCATCACACAAATGAATGCCCTCAGCGAGACTCGAACCCGCGACCTCTGGCACAGCAAGTAGAGTCACTACAAACTGAGCCAAACGTGATTAATATTTGAAACGTGAATAATTTTCCTGATGTTTTAGTGTTTATTATCTTATTCCAGACTTAAGAGAAACCTAAAAAAATCAAATATTATAAAAATCGGTCCAGCCGTTCTTGCGTTGTACATGGTGTAACTAACTCGACTTTGTTTATATGTATATTTAGGATGTTTTATATATATTTTCTATTTATTGAAACTTTCCCTGTACATGAAGGAACATACGAAAAAAAAATTGCTGAATTGGTCGAGCCGTTCTCGAGTTTTGCGCTTAGCAATTCATTTTTATTTATATAGATTACAGTATATTGCTGTCTCACTGTTATATATGAAATTGAATAATGCTATCTCACGAGAATCATTCTCATTCAATCACTATCAATCACTGTCTCACTCGCACAGACTTACCTATTAGAATCATGAACTAGACCCAGTTTAAACTGTGCATGCGCCATATTCTCCCGAATCTTTTGACAAAAACCAACTTCAAATTTATTCACTAAATTCAAAGGTTTTTTCATGTTAACTAAATTTATTATTTCATTGAAGCAGCGCCTCTCTTTTATAGTTATATCACTGTTGTATGATATTATTGATGCATTTACATCTTTTGTTATTAAATTCAATATGGCGTCCAGTAATTGTAAACGGTTGCTTAATTTGTCTTGCTTAGGTGTGGGCTTTTCTGGTATGTGACCCAAGCCGGCGCCGGGCTTCTGAAAATTAAAAAAAAATATATTTTATATTAATTTTAATTTCTGACACTTGCTTATTTATATAGAGCCTAAATTATTAAGTGATTGTACATACTCTTTGCATTTAGACTTTCAAAGTTATCTTAAATTATTATAATATACTAGAGATTCATCCACGCTTCGCTCAGGTTCATTCCTAGGGAGATTCCGCGTACAAACGTTCATCCCCATTTTCACCCCATTAAGGGATGATTTCCAGGATAAAAACTGTCCTCTGTCCTTTCCAGGATCTCAAACTATCTTCTTACCAAATTCCATCTAAATCGATTTAGTAGTTCCTGAGATTACTTCATACAAACAAACTTACAAGCTTTACCTCTTAATAATATTAGTATGATGAGCAATCGGAACGAAGTTCCTTATCGTATGTTGTTCTCTGCACATTTAACGGATAAGAGCGAGACGGAAAGAATTGTAATAATTCGACCGTCACTTTTTTTGTTTACTGAGAACACTCCGTGTGACGTCTTCACAAGTACCAGGCGAGCATGAGTGCCGAGGAGTAGTAGAGTTCGTATGTATATATATATATTTTTGTGACCGCCTCATAAGTATTTATTATTATTTTGATAACCCACTCGATGGCATGGAATAATTTTTTTTTAAACACACAAATTGACGCCTGAAACCCGCCATATCAATTGTCAACTATTTTTATATAATCTATAATATTCACGTTATCAAGACGAATCTGACGACATATGAATCATCAAAATAGGCCCATTCGTCTCTAGAACGCCACTTCGGAGCAAACAAACATACATACATAGACTGATAAACACATTACCCTCCTTTGCGTAGTGCAGTCGGGTAAAAATATACTAATGACGCTTATAATATTATTGTGATATATCTAAACGTGCACTTACAATATGTAATGCTGGTATGATGGGTTCAACGATGCCTTCCCCCCGCAACCCCAACGCTCCGCCCTCCCATCCCATGAGACGCATCATCCTGATAGAATGAACAATGATTATTTATTTATTAAATTATTTCAAATGAAAACTTCTATAGGCAGGTTTGTTTGTATGGGGAGTAAATTCATGTAAGTCGTCATCGACATGGTCACGTGACGTGTCAACGCTAACACTCAAAGTGCCGATAGATGTCAAAACCAGATAAATGTGAACAGTTTTAATTTACAAATATTCATTTAAGATCAAACGATTAATTTGAATATCCAAAAATAACAACTGTTTGTTTATAGTTTTAAGTTTTCACTACTGTTGGCAGTCCTCATGACTGTTTTTTTTAATTTATTCAACTAGCGACTAACGACTAACAGTATCCTATTTGCTACTCCAGATCTTACACTATCTGTGTACCAAGTTTCATCCAAATAAGTCCAGCGGTTTCTGCGTGGAGAAGTGACAAACATACATACACACAAAATTTCGCAATTATAATAGAAAGTCATATTTCCTCATTTTATGTTTCTTGGAACGTAATATTATCAGTTACTTTTTTCGACATTCCATTTATAAACTGCTAAGCCGATTTTTATAAAACTTTTACTATCTCTTATACTATCTATATAAGCAAAACGTATGTGTGTACTTATGTACGCACGTAAGAAGTTATACTTCTTTGGCGTAACAGAACAAAAATAGCTAAAGATTTCATCCCGTATGTCACTACTCTCTGTTTGTAAAAGGAATGCAGCTAACTTCATCATGTCGATTTTTGGCTGTCGGTGTGCGCGCGCATCGTAAAAATTTTACTCTCATATTTTTTTCCAAACGTGCCAAAATAAGTATAACTTCAAAAATATTATTGCAAATTCGATAGTTAGAAATATGTATACTTAACACATTAACTCATTATTGGAAAGATTCTTAAGGCAATAATATATTTTTTAACTAAAATAAAATCAATTTAAAATAAAGAAATAATTAAGATTTTTTTTAAATATATATATATGTCCGATACGAACCTTAGACCTTTGTCACTCTCTAACGGCGTAGACATTGCTTCTAATAACTTACGTTTTCTACAACCCTGTATTAAATTTGCGTCTGTACTTTTGTCTATAACTTTATTATTATCTGTGCTCTCTGCTGCTTTCGCAAATGGAATGGCGGGTTTAGGTATCTGTGGTGTTCTGAAAATTTTTTTATTAGGTACATGTTTTCCCACTCGCATAGTACGTCGATAAAAAATGTGTCAATATTCAGGATATAAGCTTAACACACAGACAAACACACCCATCACACATACACAATGTATATAACAACAACATACAAAAAAATAATAAAATATGGCTATGTTTTAAATGCAGACTTATTTAACGATGTACTTAGCCCTTCACTGCTGCCCCTTTAATACGAGAATCAGGCCATAGTCCACCACGCTGGCCGAGTGCGGGCGGACTGAGCATGTCTTTCGACAACTTGCTAGGTTCTCTCAGACATGCAGGTTTCACGATGTTTCCCTTCACCGTAAGACAAGTGGTGATCATGTTAGAAATGATTCGCACATGAAAATATCAGAGGTGCGAGACCCGGGATTTGAACCCGCTTCATTCAGTTACCCAAGTGAACGCGTTACCACTGAACTACCACTGCGTCTTATCTAACAACAATATATCTTATAAAGATGTCTAAATTGAAAAATATTTGATTAATTAGTCGATGAAAGAGGTATTTTGCTTATATATTACATAATATATGATCCTGCTTACTTTTTAGTATTATTATCCGTTAAATACACTGATCTCATTTTCTCTCTAATATCATCTATTATATCCATTTCTTTTTTGTTATTAACTGTTATTTTAGTTTCTTTTATATTTTTAAATAGATTATTAATATTTGAATTATCTACAACTTTCTTTTTCTCTTTGGATTCGGGAAGAACTTTTTCTTTGACTTCTTTTTTTTCTATTTTGTCTATGGCTTTGATAAATATATTATTAGTTTCATTTGTTTCATTACTTGATCTTAAGTCTATGGTTTTAGGGCATTTTCTTTTATTTACTAGTTCATTTCTATTATGTAAATCAATATTATTTGTACTTTTTGCTTCGAATTCAAATATTTCTCTTACTTGTACAACACTTTTCATTTTACTTTTATTATTAATCTCATTAATTTCACAACTTTTTTCAGAATTGACTAGTGCTGTGTTTTGTTCATCTTTTAAATTCACATTATTTAATATCATATTTTTGACGTTTTCTTTATCTCTGGCATTGAATTGGAATTCGTCATCTGTTTCTGTATCTGTATTGTCTATGGTACATGAATCGGAATTCGATATATAATTACTTGTATTATGATCACAGTTACTAAAAAAAATACACCTTTTTAATATATTATAATATATTAAATTGTTCTAATTATTTATTTACATCAGAGTTTTAATATTGTTTATATTTTCTTATATTTAAAGTGATTAAAATTTAAAACATCAATAATTGTGTCAATGAATCAATAAGTGATATGAATGAAGTTATTTTATACTTACGTAGAAGAATCTGTTTTTATCAGTGCTTTTAGAAACTTACAGCTGGAACTATCCGTTTCATTTTCCGAGCTCAACTGGCCATTAGGATTTTTTGATAATCTGTAACAGAAATATAATTAGATTCTAATATGGGATAGTGAAATCGAAGACACAAAAACCCATGCAAGTTCCGAAATACCCCTACTCCCATGCTTCTTTTACTAGTAGCTTCCCAGTCAGCTAAGTCATACAAGTTGGTCCAGTCTATACGCATTCCTGCACTTATACAAATGATAACTTTTATGTTAGCTTCGGTCTCAGGAAAACTAATTAAGGTTTTAGTATACTATCTTGAATTATATTTTAGCAACTCTTCCAAATAATTAATAAATAAATATGTCAGGACATTAACACACAGCACCATCTAGTTCCATGGTAAGCTACGAAGCCTGTGTTATGGATACCAGATAGTTGATACACTACACATATATAACTTTAAATACATACATATTATAAATACCCATGACTGGAATACTCATCACACAAATGAATGCCCCCATCGGGACTCGAACCTGCGACCGCTGGCACAGCAAGTAGGATTTTCTACACTACACTACTACACTACAAACTGAGCCAAACGTGTCGTCGAACGTGTCGTCCATTTCGTATAGATTTTCAATAATAACCACTGAGCGTCTTAAAAACGTCCTTCAAAATCCACTTTACGTAGACATACATCTATGAAAAAAGTACTAGATACACAATCCCACGCAAAAGTTCTCTTAAAACTGTGACCAATTTGAGTGAGTTAAGGTAATTATTCTAGTTCAAACAAATATACAACAATGTAATCATCATCATCATATTCAGCTTGCTTTCGTCCACTGCTGGACATAGGCCTCTCCTATTTCACGCCACTGAGCTCGAATTTCAGCTCTACGCATCCAACCGACCGACCAACAATGTAAACTGAACCTTAAATACAATGCTTAAAGTTGTTTTCACAAAAAATAAAAAAAATAAAAGCGTGCTCAAATTTTCGAATGAGCGCTCATTCGGTGTGGACATTTTTTGTCGCCGATTGTGACATCTAGTACTTTTGATCGATGTGGATATACCAACAGTCAACGACAACATATCTCTAACAAAGATTCTAGTAGAGACCATCTTTCCGTCTTGTCGAACAAAGGCTTTGCCGTAGTCCTTATTTTCTAGGCATATTAAATAAAACTATCTTTTTTAAAAAAAAACGCGAATTCATATTGATTTTTGGTTCCCGACGTTTCGAATGCTTTATAGCAACCATGGTCAACTCAAAGGTGTGTACTTGTTACAGACAGTGCCCACAAATTTACAAAATGATTTCAAAAATTGCACTAAAGTAAATTGCCTTAAAATATTTATTCATTTTAATCTAAACATTAAATTTTTTATATATATATATATATATATATATATATATATATATATTAATAATAATTGAATGTGGCATATATAATGAATAATATTATATATGCTACATTCAATTAATGATCTTGTGAAGATTGTCTCATAGAGTCAGTCTGGCTCATGGGTACGAATCTAGACAGAACCATCCCATTTTATTGGAATCCCTGGATTAAGCACCATAAGATGCACCATGCATCTTATAGTAATGTTTTGTAGTTTTAATAGATTTTATCCATTCATTTTTGTCTGTTTGTCTGTGACCGCATCACGGAAAAACTACTGGAGGAATTTTGATGAAATTTGGTGTGGTGATAGCTGGTTATCCGGGTAACATATAGGATACTATTTACCGCGCGAAAATGTCTCATTTCTGAGAAAAAATACAGAAACACAAAAATTGCATTGTAAGAGCATACTAATATGTAAAACCTAAGAATTTGGTTTTTGGTCATCTGAACGCGGGCGGAGCCGCGGGCAATGCTAGTACAGATAAATAAAATTGAAGTGTCTGTTTGTAATATCAAAATAACAGCTTTTTACTAAACGCTTATGAAAGTATATACGGTACTTATAAGGATTGTGTTTTCCTTTTAAAATTTTTGTCTGCCTGTCTGTTTGTTCTGGCTTATCTCCGAAACGGCTGGACTGATTTTGACTGGACTTTCGCTGGTAGATAGCTGATGTTATAAGAAGTAATTTAAGCCACTTTTATTTTAGAAAAAGAATTAAGAGTTCTGCTCAAAAAAATAAATCGTACCTAAGGACGCACCCGAACAAAGTCGCTAGTATTAAAATAAAAAAATATTTAAGTAGAAGGTAGCTTTATTTGTAAAAAAAAAGCAGGAAAGCAAAAACAAAAATTAAACGTTTTTTACTTAAGACATGCATATTTGCTTGTCAATAAAATACTCACTTTGCCTTTGAATAAGTATTTCTAGTGTATCTCGGTACTTTACAAAATATTATTTCCCTGTAAAAGAAAAAAACAACATTAACATCTAAAATATCTTTTCATTCACATACTAAGTATAGTATTATATATATATATATATATATATATATCTGTGAGTAGGTATATATATACACACACACATACATAGCGTATATAGAACACAAGAATTACGTGTTAGCCTTTTTGGCTAGAACGTAATAATATTAGGTTACAAACTTAGCTAGAAAAAAAAACAATTAAAAATACTAATAATCCTATTAATGTTATAAATGCGAACGTTTGTGAGGATGTATGTATGTCTGGATGTATACATGTATGTATGTTTGTTACTCTTTCACGAAAAAACTGTACTGAATGGATTTTAATGAAACTTTACAATAATATACCTCATACATCAGAATAACACATAGGCTACTTTTTATCCCAGAAAAATGTACGGTTCCCGTGGGATAATTTGTTTTTGTTTTTTATTAGGGACGCACCCGGCATAGTATAAAACAATGTCGCTTCCCGCTTTCTGTTCCTATGTATGTTTAGATCTTCAAAACTATGCAACGGATTTTGATGCGGTTGTTTTTAATAGATAGAGTGATTCAAGAGGAAGGTTTATATGTATGATACATGCATAATATAAAAGAGAAACACTGATAATTTCAAAGATTTCTAATGTGATGTAAATAAACACATTTTTCTTTGAGCTTACATTGCAAACACTGGGTGAACCCTACGAGATAGATCAAAATAATATACTACAGTATTGTACACCTTAAAAAAGTCTACAAAAAGTCCACGATGGCGTATGTCTATCTCTTAAGGATAAAACGTACTATATCCATTATATATATAATTCTTCTGTGAGTGTGTATGTCACTGAACTTCTCTCAAACGACTGGACCGATTTTGATGAAATTTTTTGTGTGTGTTCAAGGGGATCTGGGAATGGTTTAAATTCACAATTTGAATAATAATTTTCATCAAAAAAATTATTAAAAAAAGTTTGAAATTTTCAAATTAAAGACGTGTAGACAGGACAACGTCTGTCGGGTCCGCTAGTCCATTATAATAACTAGGGACGAACCCGAGCAAAGTGAGGGTGAGTCGCTAGTGTACACTTGTATTTGTTTGTTTGTTTGTCCTACTTTCACGTCGAAACGGAGTGATGGATTGGCGTGATTTTTTGTGTGGAGGTAGTTAGAGAGGTGGAGAATGACATGGCTACTTTTATCGTAGGAGATTCTCTCACTCCCACGGGAAAACACGTTATAATACAACCCAAAAAATTATTTATGATTAGAATTACTTGAAACTTGGTATTTATGCTCTTCAGTACAATTAAATAAATAGGTGTTTTAGCATTTTTCGAAATTCATTCCATAAGTGGATAAAATATGGGATAAAAGTTTGTATGAAGTCTACCTTTTTAGTTTTATGTTGTAGTTTTAGCGCGAGCGAAGCCGCGGGTTCTGCTAGTAATATATAATTGTAATACTTTATAAATTTGCTATCATTCTATGCATTTGACACAAAACAATTATGTAAAGAATTAACAAATAATGTGCGAAGACTAACATGAATAATAAAAAACCATTTAAGAAAAGATCTTCAAGTAAAATAGCTTATATATCACTGAACTATACAATCAGAATCATCTGTGATAGTCTAAGATCCCAATCACAATATGGTGGACCGCTCACTCTTTTTTCAAACAAAATATATTTCTTAAACAATAAAACATATTAACAAACACCATTTCGGGTTTGTCACCAAAAATCGGTTGAGGCATTTGATTGCTCGTATCGAATCATATTTTCCAGAACCAACCAAATATAAAAATGTAGATAATTTTAATATAAATTTAATGATATATTTAAAATAAACATATTTTGCCTGGAAAAAGAGTGAGAGTCCACCACATAGATTTGGATCTTAGACTGTGACTTAGTTTATTAAGGTTTTTATATACAAACTTACCGTTTACAAGTCTTTGTATCAGTCTTGCCAACATAAATATATAATTTGGAGTTCTTGTCAAACTCCTTAAAACTTATACATATTTTATTCAACAAATCATTACAATGTGGTGAAAAAAAAACTCCAAAATATGTTCTCCTATTATAAATACCAAGGAAATTTTCCAAGAATTTTGCTTCATTGGGTGCTAAATCTGAAAATATGAAACTTGCACTCGCTTCATCATTGATGAAATCTAATATTTTTTGAAAAGTTGTTTTGAAAAATGCTGGTGCTATAGAATCTATTATGTTTCTGGCATGCACATAGTATTTTTGACCCTTTGTGGGTTTCTTTGGTTTTATTTTAACCATTTCAATATCCTTGTTTTCACTGTAAATGAAATGAAAGATTTTACTAAGTAAAGCCTTTTAAATAAATCTTTTCAGATGTTTTTGTGTATTTATTTTGATTTTTGGTTCAGGACATTTCCAATGCTTTACAGCAATCGTGGTCACGGGACAGACCAAGGTTTTACATGTCTCAAAGCTATATATAGTTGTTACAGACAGTGCCTATGCAAAAATTACAAAATAAATTAAAATAAAAACAAAAATAGCACCAAAGTACCATATGGGTGAAATCTCATTCAAGCAATGTAAATGTTATTAATAAAATAAAGTTAATTTCAACAAAAAGTTGTAATAATTAAAAAACTTTGTTGAAATTAAATAATGTTACAATATAAAACATAAAAAACAAATAATTAACTTAAATTAAATATTGGAAACTTGGGTACCATTTTTCGATTTTTTAAATTCATTTTATAATTTGTGGGTAAATACTGTCTGTGACAACTACATATACCTTTGGGATGTGTAAAACCTTAATCTCTCCCTTGACCATGATTACTGTAAAGCATACTTCGGGAACCAATAATTAAAATAAATCAGTGAAAAAACCAAAAACATAGTTTTATTTAAAATGTCAAAAAATCACATAAATCTAAGAAAGTATTTTACAAGTCTTATTATTATTTTCTATTTATTTAGAGGCACAATCCATATACTAATCAAGACATGACTAAAAAAATCATTTACTTACACAACTTTTGCACATTCTTGATTTGTACTTTTATTTTGTTGCTGTCTGAAATAAAAAAAAGTACATTAAGTTACAACAATAACAATATTCTTAGCATTAAATTAAGAACAACAAAATATATCAATTATAAATGATGAATTTGCCTAATTAAGACTTAAATCTTACATTATTGGTTCTGCACATACTGGATGTGTACTTTTTTGCATCTCCTGAATATTAGATTCTCTGAAACAAAATTATTATGCAAAATTAAAATAAAAGAAAACTTTAATCTTCTTTATAACTTAGTGGATCAATAACCTTTTTGAAAATGTTTTGGCTGAACAATTAATGATTTTAGTCTTAAAAATAAGCCTCAAATATTACTGTAACATACTCACAGTGGTGGTTTATCGCATTCTTCATTAGTAGTTTTTGGTTTTTTTTGAATTCTCAATTGCCTGAAATATAACTTAGGTTATTCCACATGATAAAATTCAAAATAATATAGTATTTTGATTATAAATTGAAAATGTATAACATTATTTTTTTATTAAATTATTGAATATATATTTTAGTCTTGCTTATTATGTTTATTACTTATTCTATAATATTATATAAGACATTTATTGTAATATTATATATATTTGAGTTTAATACATGAGTTAACAAAGGAAGTGTTACAATATCGGTAGTAATAAATTCTTTGTAGCAGTAATATAACTTACCCCAATTCACCAGATGCAGCTTTGGTAGCAGAAACTTCAAATTGATATTTCACACTGTAAATGCTCATAGCTTCCCATAAAGGTGCATATAATGACTTGAATCCTAGACCTACATTATTTTGACGCTGCCATATTAAATTGTGCAAGTATTCTACTTGTGCGATAGGCATTTGCGGATATTCCATAACCATTTGGTTATCATTTTTAACAAATTTTAAAGTTGAGTTCAACCACTGAACTTTGAAGGATTGAGGAATTTTGTCTTCCATTATAAATTATCTTCTTGTAGTGCTTCCTAACAGTTTCTTGTTACGAATTCAACAAAAAACGTGGCTAATATGATAAAGTCATAATTTCAATATAAATACCCACAAGTAAAATTATTATTTTTAATGTGTGCTCAAACTTGTTTGTTAGATTTCGAACCGTAATCGTTATGTGGGTGTTCACTTTCATTCAAACTAAACTCTAAAGTAGTTCAAACTTTAACATTAAAATAGGATAGGATATATTTTCGATAAATTTTACGCTTTACAAGTTTAAAAAATAGTAGGTATAAAATAGAAACAAAGAGAATTTAACTGAATAAAAATCGTTTTTTTAAATGGCTTAGATTCTTAGAATTGCGTTCACAGATTCAATACAATTTATTATGATTTATGGATGATTATTATGACATGAATGAAATTGAGCGGTTATTTTAAAATTTAGCAGTGTTAAAATGAAGTTGAAACTTTTATTTAAATTGTCATCCATGGTTGGAACTACAATTGAATGATCAATCTACAGAAACAACCTACAACATTAAAAAGTTTAAAAGATTATACAACAAAAAAAGGGTCTAAAGTACAAAGATTGAAAATAAAAATAAATAATACTTTTTTTTATAATGGCTTTTAGTTGCGTTAAGACGCAATCCATTCTGCCAGTATCACGTTTTGTGAGGAAGACACGAAAGAGATTGAGCGGTAATTTTGAAATTTGGTAACTATATTGTGGAATTAAAACTATATATATATATATATATATATATATATATATAATGAGATAATTTAATTTTTTTATCAAAGGAAATTCGGTTATACCCATAGACATACAGAGAGTAGCCTGAGTGTTGACTATGTAAAAATTTCTCTATGGTGTTGGTCACGACTGTTGATTGCCTGATGTCAGTTAAAAATGGCGGTTAGGCGCGACAGGCATAAAACTAATTTGTTATCGCAAATGTGATATTTATTTATAACAATTTTACATTCCATTATAATATAATGTATTTTTTTATATATCAATTATAAATTCAAATTGGAAGAAAAGACAGGTATTGGGCGTACGTTCGCTTTCCTTTTTAAAGAGGTTAGAGTGGTCAAATCATGAGAGTATTGCTCAGTCCATTCTCTACGTGTATGGTACTTCCCGGCGTTGGGAATCCCGGAGAAATGAATGAAACGTCACTTAGACACATCTTTCTTGTCTCTCGTAATAATCAAAGAACGTAAGTTGTAAATAATTCTTATATTCTAATCATTATGTATAAATAGTATTAAATTTAACCTATATTAAATCTACATTTAGAAAAACCAAGAATTAAATATCAGTACGACAAATAATATCACAAGTTTCCCAATAGTTAAGAGGTTATAGGTAGATGTAACGTCTTGTATTCATACAGATATATTATAAAAGATACGTATATAATTATGCATGTATATAAAAAAAATATATTAGGATAAAATATTAGGCTTAACTAAATATATTTAGGCCTTAGACTAAACAAATAAGATAGATCGTTTAGAAAACTATTCAATTCAATTCTTTATTTAATGGCTTTATTGCGTGCCAATTTAGCATAAATTATTTCGCAAATGTCACGTTGAGGAGTCATGATTGATGATTCCAGTTTCCACTATAAAAATAAAACTAAACCGTCAATGTCAAAAAGAAAACATCTAGGTACCTTATTTTATTTTAACGTGTAAAATATCTTATTTTTAGTATTTTTTAAGTGAAAACTTCTACGGGAAAATTTGATGGGCGAGTAAATTCATGTAAGTCATCATCGATATGGTCACATGACGTGTTAAAAATATGAGATACGGCGTAGGTTCTAATTTTAATTATAAATACAGATATACGAGTATGTACATAGGGTAAGGTTGCTTAAGTCGTAACCCCTAAGGGAATAAATAATACTGTTATATTCAACGCAATTGAATAAAAAAATCTTCTGCATGTATTGTATATTTATTTAGTTGCCTTTTTAATCAACAATAATAAAAACTGTAAAATCTTTTATCAAAATATATATTTTAACGTTTTTCAAAAATATACCTTCGGTACGATTAAGGCCCCTAGTTGCCTATTTCGTACCACCTATAGCCTAAGTCGTACTTAGAAAATATACTTTTATTAACACATAATAAACTGTACAGAAATATACTTAATAACCAGAGTCACAATGAACAACTAAATAATTATTCATTAATTATTCATTGCCCATCTACCACTCGCTCTAGTGCCCTCTACCCTTCCAGCCACCACTAATCGTTTGATATAATTTAAATATAATTAATTTGGTGTGCAGCAAACTTTATTTATCCAATATTTCTTGGTACTTATAAAAAAACGAATTAACACGCTCTTTATTAAATCCTTTAGTTCTGACCATGGCCCGGTTGGTTTTGGAACATGCAACGACAAAGTAGGATGGTCTTTCATAGACCTGTAATACCAATTTATGCCTAAAATTTTCTTCTCCTTGTTGAAACGATGAGGTAGTTGAAATTTTTCAACAAGCTTGAAGGCAAGTTTCTTAAATTCAGTGGCCGTTAATCCGAAGAAACAAGACTATAAATTCACCAAAGCTGTGCTAATATCTCTTTTTAGTCTGGTGACATATCATTAGGTTTTCCAAATTTTGTTATTTTATTTTCCTTTTATTGTCCTTTCAAATGTCGTCGCATAGTAGGCCTCGATATATTAAATCTTCTACAAGCTTAATTTAATCCAATTTCTCCATTCCGATGTTTCTCTAAAGCTTCGTCCATATCCACCTGCTTCCAAGTATTGTACCTTCTCGTCGCCATATTTAGGTATAACCTGAAAAAAATTAAGTAAATTATATATTAAACATGTTTCTTAATACTCAAGTTGTATACTGGTACGACTTGAGTATTAAGAAATTTGTCCAGTACGAGTAAGGGATTTTGTACAGGTACGACTTAAGCAGCAGTGTTTCCTAAATTTAAAACTAAAAGTAATGACATAATCTAAAAAAGTTCTAATGTTTGAGTATTCGTTTACAAATGAGTCAATAATTTTAATGAAAACTGTGCAATAAAACTTTTTCAATATTTTTACTTCACGAAGCCGGCCGGTCGCCCACTTATTTATCTTCGGTGGTTCGACTAACTAGTTCAGATTAACGACTAGATTGCGCAATTTGTAATTGTCAGACAAGATATTACCGTGGTACGACTTGAGCAGCCTTACCCTACTCGTGATGTAACGAATGTTCGATTTTTCACATTAGCGAATGCGAATTCATCTCCAATATTCGCGAAGGCGAATGTTGACTTTCAAATAAAGCTCGCGCAAAATGTTAAACAGGCAAGGTTTACAATTATTCGTGTCGGCCGAACATAGCCGATACATCGGTGTATATAATATGGAATATTCGTTACATCGGTGTGGTCGACTAAGGGTGTCGAGATGTGTGCACCGGTTTCACCATCACGACAGTGCTCGTGAGCGGGTTTCCCCGTTATTACGCAGATTGAGCTCTTCCCTTTCGAGCACTTGGCTCGATCTCTCCCCTCTAGATGGCCAATGTAGGCAAGCCAGAGGCGAGAGACTGATGTTGTTTCCCCCGGGAGGTCTCAGGTCCGTGGTGTTGCCACTCAGCAGCAACTCGCCACAAGCTGCCCTGCGGCCTTTTTATTATACTATAGATGTTACTTAGAATATATCTATTTTTAAAATTAAACTATGTATTATAATCTCACCGCACATACCTACATCACTAACAATAAATAAAAATTACGGTATAATCCAAGTAACGCACACATTTTATAGAGCAAGAGCCCGTGAACGCCAGACCTTCGTCATTTTATAAAGGCTAAAAGTTTGTCAGCGCATAATCCCAACACAGATAAGAACGATGGATCGAAGCTGATTTTTATATTTAATACTTGGGTAATAATTAGATGATTTATAAGACTGCTAGCATAGCATTTATTACACACCATGAAAAATGTTCCAAACAAGTTGGGAGGCATTTCTAAGTAAATGTTGCAAATGGTCACCAAATTTGAAGCGCTAAATCTAAAAATCAGCTTTTATACTATAACGTAAGTAGAATTATGATTTCATGAAAAGGGTGTCTGGCAAGGGTTTGCCACGATGTTAAGTGTCTGGCATTGAATGACGTGATTTTTAATAATATCCTGAAGGTAATACCAAAAAATCAAACTTTATTATTTGACGAATTTAGATCGGTATTTTACACACCTTTAGTATCGTGTACCTGCCAAAGCCACTATAGCCTGAACTTCATAATGGTCCATCGTTCTTATCTGTGTTGGGAGCATGTGTTGACAAACTTTCAGCTTTTATAAAATGACGAAGGTCTGGCGTTCACAGGCTCTTAGGCCATTAATAAATATAGTTTTAACGAATAAATGTTGTTAGAGTAGATATTATTGTTAGAATAATAAATAATTAATCAGTATTTAAATACATAGCGTTTATCAAACCCATATCATCCCATATCATTTTTAGGTTAAGTTTTTTAAAATTTAAAGGAGAACGGGCACTTCTGGGCGGTCGGCGGCCAAGAATGATTTTGTTATTAATTGATGTGGTTAATATATGATTATGGTTTGTAGGACTACAAAAGCTCTAGTTTTAGCTCTATACAAATTTGCCCATTCTCCTTTAAAATTATTATATACTAGCTTTCGCTTGAATCTGCTAGTATATTATGAGGATAAAAATAAATTATTCTTTGTCCGCCTGTAAAAATTCCGCCATAAACAATAGATATTATTTGTGGTTGCAGAATTAAAAGTGTGGGGAAAAATAATATTGTGCAGCTTTGGTTACTAAATACTCCCGGTAATCCAGCCCCTGTCTAATCCGGCCCTGTAATCCGACATGCCTACTGTTGAGTTGAATGTATAAACACAAACATTTTTTTGACAAATCTTCATGGATTTAAGATAGTGCATGATTAAACAGGTTGCAACTTGCAACACGTACGCGCCGCCACTAC